TCGTTCAGCTCATTGCGCCCGTACTCGCCCATGGTTCCTTCGTTTTCCCCTGCTATCCCTCCTCCGGTCTGGGCTGTGTCCGCTATAATTATAGGTGATCTTTGCTGTTTGTTTCTTTTGAAACGGTTCAACGGGTCAAAAAGGGGCATCGCAGATAGCGCTCTCGACTCGTTTGTTTGTCCGCTCGCGCAATTTGCTCGTCGTTTTTCGTCGTTGGTTCGACTTACTTCCGCGCACAGCGGACCATCATTTAAAAATATCCTCTCCGCTCTGTCAGTGACTCTGTCTATGTATGCATTTATCGTTTTTTATTTTTTATCATAACGAAGTTTCATCATTTATTTATTTTGTTTTGCCCTAGGCTGCTGTGTCGCCGTCTCTACCCCACCACATATCACTCACACCCCGCATCACTTCTACCCAGCATTCGGTGAGTGCAAGCGATCAACGCATCGGACAAAAAGTACGCCCGACGATTGTACATGGTTGTTGTCCGCATGAGGCAGGGTCGTTTCTGCGGACGGCGCCAGATGATCTGATGGGGTAGGTTCTCTTCTCCTCGCTTGGGGGTCCCTGGTGTATGTGAAGCTTTCTTTGTTCTAGACGAGAGAGGGGCTAAAAGCAGCAGCAGCCGCGTGCGGGCAGGTAGCCTCGCTGCCTTAGACCGAAATCACAATGCCAACGCCTGCAGCTTGCTTTGTGGCCGTAACGTGGTGCGGCACGTTGTTGCTGGCGGACAGCGGTAGCGGAGGGCGCGTCAGATTCAGTGGGTTCGGAGCGCAAAAAAAAGAACAACCGACCAGCGGCAGCAGCAGCCGCAGCAGCAGGAGCATAAGCAGCATGCCCTCCGCTCCTCCCACAGACGTTTGTGACTGGCAGCGTGCGGCATGCGTTGCTCGCAAGACTGCGTGCACCGTGTGGGTCATGCATGTCACGCGCGCCTCTGTCAAAAATGACACGTGTGGCTGTGCAGATGATGATCCCGCTTAACGAACACATCTTCTAAAAGGCGGCTTCGGCTCGTTTCAGCAGTTCATCTGTTGTTGCACAGCACCGGACCAGTACGTCCACTACTCTGTTTGCAGGTGATAGTATAGTGATCAATCTCCCCGCATACGGCACACAGCAGCGGCAGCAGCGGAAGACACCACGCAGCACTTACGCCCATTTCCTCAGGCCGCACACTGTCCGGTAGTGAGGTTTGTAAGTCGGGGTGTCTTGTACTGGTACAGCAGTGTTTCACAAAAATGGATGGGATACCCAACTACAGAGAAGCATTTTTTCAGCAAATGGTCAAGTCTACAATGTAGAGGTACAGTCGAGGTCCCTGTTTAAGGCCGCCATGTGCCACGGCAAAATACTGGCCTTAAACAGGGCACCCGGCCTTATTCGGAACGTCCCTTGTTAAGGCCGACATCGGTCTTAAAAAGGATCTACAATTCCTCAAAAAGGCCGATACCCGGGCCTTATTGAGAATTCTTGAGTTGTTGAAGGATGCATCTATACTCCACACAGAGCTTACTTACATGGGCATGGAGAAGGCCTACAACATGCCGGCTGGAGGTAGCAGGGGTGCGCAATTTCAGTGTCATGGCCCCGCTTTGGGTGGGCATTTATTGTAGAGCAGCAACGGGGCTGTATAGTTGAACGATGTTCGATCAAGCGCCTCGCCCATATGGATTTTTTTTTGTTTTCGTCACATATAACAAGTTCGCTTCTATCCAGCCCCCCCCACTCCCGACTACAATCTTACACAAGCTAACACATGCATGACAAAAAAAAATAGAGTCCCAAGCTTCGCCGAAAATGAACCATCAAGTATAGAAGGCACATTCGTGACCGTCAGGGGCTACCGGCGTCCGTCCTTGCAAAAGATACCGCTCACCAGCCGCACACGGCATGGTATACCCTTTACTGCTGTGTTTACTTGTTGCTTCGCACAAACATACCGCAGCTGCTGCCAGGGCTGTGAATCAGAGGGTGGGCGAAGTTGGGAGTGGGCGATGTGGGCATCGCTTTGCCAACCCCAAATTATTCCTCAACTTCTCCTCGCATAAATACTGACTCTGTAGTACTGTACGCATACACCCTTCGCTTAGACTCCTCGCTGGAAAGCATCTTCCGAACTTCTCATCATGTTTTACGTTACATATCCAACCGGTATCAATTACTCCGCACTTACGATTACTCCGCACGTACATGACATACGTACAGCAACCTACAGATGAATATATTAATATACTCTTGCCCATATGTATCCTACAGCAGTATGTGCTGTATTTGAACATGTGGTTGCGTGGTAGGGGTGCGGAAGGTGTTTTTCTGTCGTGCATGCGAAGGTGGGGGTTTGGATGCTGCACGTAGGACTGCAAAAGGTGGCTGGATGAGCCTGTGTGCGTCACAACCGGCCTTATTGAGTGTGAGAAGAGGCCCAAAGCGGCCTTATACAGACCTCCCTGTTTAAGGCCGGTGGCGGCCTTAATCAAGACGAAATCGGTGCCAAGGGATTTCACTGGCCTTAAACAGGGCAACCGGCCTTAAATAAGCGGCCTTAAACAGGGACCTCTACTGTAGATACCAATTTGGCCAGACCTTATGCGCGCGTATGACGCATATCCACACACAACCGGCACGGATGGCACCAGCAGCAGCAGATCGTCGATCGCGCTTTTCAAACGCGGATGAAATGTTTGTGGGGAGAATTGAGTGTACAGCAGTGACGTGTTGCCCTTTCTTTCTTCTCAGTATCTCAGTAAAAAGTGTCGGGCGTGGGAGAGGTACGCCGCACGCGCCGCGTGCTTCTTACTCCTTTTGTCGGCGGCGGCAGTATAGAGCTATCTACCCGTTCGAGATGTAACCAAAATTTCTACACATCTCAAGTTTATCATCACATGGGTGACAGTATTTTCGTGCTGTGTACTGCTGTATGCATATTCTAGAAAATGTAGAATAGACAATGCGTCACGTAGTCTCACAGAAAAAAGACATGCTCGAAGAATGCAGTATCCATACATTGTACATGTTCTCAAATGCGAGAGGTTCTCCGAACAGCAGCAGCAAAACGAATAAAAAGTACTGCTGTAGGTACAACTTCTAGTTAGAGATCCGTCCGACCCTTTCGCGTGTGTCGTCTAACGCTCAGTCTTTCCAAACAACACTCACTATGGATAAACAAAAACATAAATATCAGGATGGAGATGGATTCGTCGTGTCCAATTGATAGAAGAAATATACTATATATATTAAAACAAAAAATCAAAACAGACGCGACCCGTTCACGTTCTCGCGACACATATAGTGCCGGTTGAATAGTGACGATACCAACTTATAGTGCCCGTGAAATCAGCCGGCTCGGATTGAGCTACAGTTGAGGTCCCTGTTTAGTGCCGGTTGCCGTTATGATGCCGGTGTTTCGGCTGGCACACACTGGAATACCAAGTCGTTCTGTACTTCGAATAGTGCCGGTGTCCGGTTTAGTGCCGGTGAAATTTCGGCGCACGCCCTGGCACTAAATAGGGACCTCTACTGTATAGCTTTTATTCCCCTGTTCTGAATACTGCCGGTGGCTGGCTCATACAACCGGCACTCTATCGGTATCTCTACTGAAGTATTGGGGCATACACTGCTATTGCTTTTGTAACAGTCCTCCTTTCGTTGCCCAAACATCCAGTACACAGGGCGATCACACTGGGGCACTACTTGTACAACTAGCACCCGCACATCAGAACTTTCTTGTCAAGAAAAATGGCATCACCTGGAAAAACTCAAAATCTGAACTTGTGTTGAGCACCATTTGGGAGCCCGTTTCAGAACCCCTGACGCCAAAACCTACTCAGCGGTCATTTTGTGTAATAAGCTAACCCTCTTTCTCTCTGTTTACTTGTCTGCCTGTCTGTCGCTCTCTCTCTCTCTCTCTCTCTTTGTTGTAGTTGACCCGGATCAACAACAGCCAATTCAACATCTAAGCGTTCTTCCCCTCTATACCCCCCCCCTCCCCCCGCACCCGTTCCCGAACCAGCCACAACACGCACACCAATCAACCATGGCAGAGACTACGACAAAAACTGATTCGCCCATGAAGAAGGCGATCATCACCGGAATCACGGGCCAGGATGGGTCGTACCTCGCCGAGTTCCTCCTCGAGAAGGTGAGTCAGGAAACGGGAAGAATCCCTGCCTTGTCCGTGGAAACCCTATCATTTGTGCCTTCCCCCTCGCCTATCGTCAAACGACTACAGCATACACGACTACGAGTACCCCCCCCCCCGTTGCCTCGTCGGTGTTTGCCATCGGGATTGGGTTTTCGTCGCTCGGCAACGACGTTGTAAAACAAGCCAATTCACTTCGTGAACTCGGCAACCAGGTTACCGTTTTTTTTTTTCGCCTATGTTTTTTTTTTTTTGGCGGTAACCATAATGGTGGTCGAGTAGATCATGTTGTGCGGGGTC